CTCCTCGGGGCAGGGGAGGTAGAGGCACAGTGGGAAACGGCAGGAGCAGGGACTAAAGCAGTCTGCTCATGCTGCTTTTGCTGTCATTCTGCTTTTATTCCTGCTATTTAATGAAAGGCTGAGGCACTGCAGGGAGCATGGGGCCAGCAGGATCCCCCGCTAGTCCAGTGCTCCCTGCGGGGCTTCCTTTTGAAATGTAAAATATCCCCACTGAGGCACTTATACATTTTAAAAGGAAACCCCATGATCGCTGCAGGACTTCTGCTTTTGAACTGTAGCAAGAGCCTGGGCTCTTGCCACGGTTCAAAGGCACAGGCGCTCTTATAGACTAATTGAATAGTCGATGAAAATCCCATCAACTGTTTGATTAGTTAATTAATATTAACTAAATTTAATATCCCCAATGGCTGAACAGAGTGAAAAGTAGTTACAGGCACAAAGGCATATTTAAACATTAGAAGGCAAATCCTACTGAGGAAAATTGAAAGCTGCATAAAATCTGGAAAATCAACTGTAAAAGTATAATGTGGTAGGCCAAAAGAGAATTTCAAGAGCAACTAGCAGAAGACATAAAAACTAACATGAAAAAAATTCCAGTACAATAAGAAGGAGGCAGTTTGCTAAACAATCAGTGGGGCTAGTGGGCAGTCAAGGTGCAAAAGTAGCATTGAAGGAAGACAAGGCTGTTGCAGTGAAGCTGAATTAATTTTTTGTTTGTCTTCCCTGCAGATGATATTGCCAGCCATTGTTTTTAGGCTCCATTTAGGGTTGCCAGATGGTTTAACCAAAAATACCGCTCCCCCCCCCCCCCAAAAAAAAAACCACCGGGGGAAAAATTATGGGAGGGAGGGGGAGACCAAAGTTGTTGATGGAGAGAAAAAAAAATGACCCTGAGAGTTAAGCCAACCCCCCCCCAAAAAAATAACCCCTAAAACCAGCATTCAAACAGCTTTAAGTGCATGCAGAGTCACAATAGGTATAGCAAGAGTGGAGCAGTTGAGCACTAAGACCCAGGAACCAAGTAAGCAGGGGGTCCTGGGGCGGGGTGGGTGAGTGCTGGGAGCTGGGCCCAGTTGCCAAGTGTGTTGTAGGGTGTCTGGTGTCCGGTATTTTCGTCTCTTGGCTGGAAAGAAAAATCAGAAAATACCGGACATTTCAGGTGTCTGGTATTTTCTGATCCTCTCTCCCCCCCTCCCCCCCCAACTGGATAGGAGGCGAAAATACCGGACTGTCCGGGTCAATACTGGACACCTGGCAACCCTCGTTCCATACTGAGGTTTCAGTAGAAGTGGTTTTTGAATAAATTATCATTTTACTTGCTATGGTATATAACCTATTGCTTAAATCAGTGTCTGTACCAGATGATTGGCAAATAATTAATATAAATCTGATTTTTGAAAAAAGGCTTGAGTGATTATGTTAATTATAGGCTGGTAAGCCTAATTTCAGTACTACAAAATTGGTTGAAACTGTAGTAAAGAACAGAATTATTGGATGCGTAGATGAACCACATTCTGTTTGGGCAGTCAGCCTGGCTTTTGTAATGGGAAATCATGCCACATCAGTCTGTTAAAATTCGTTGAGGGGGATCAACAAATGTGAACAAAGATGATCCAGTGGTTATAGTGTCCTTATACTTTGAGAGAGCCTTTGTTAAGGTTCCTCACCTAAGCCTCTTAAACAAATTAAGGCATGTTGAGGGAAGGTTTTCTCATGGACCATATCATAAACATGAGGGATGGGGACTAAGGGGTTAACTGTATCTAGCCAGGTAGCAGTCAGCCAATAGAAATGTAGATAGGGATTTCAAACTGAGGCAAAGGAATTTTTGGGTTTTCCCTCCTTTGTTTCTGACTCAGTTTGCTCTCTGGGTACTGAGGGGGACAGAGGACATGTCTATTTCCAAGAAAAGACTCTTCACCATCTGTAAGTAGGGCAAAGTCTAGATAATCCATCAGGTTTTATTGTTTTCTGGTTTGGGAATTTGGATCTAAGATCTGTGCTGTTAGAAATGTTTTTTTTTCCTTCTGTAACTAAGTCCTGAGCCCATGGGAATCCCCCATGAGTTTATTAATTTGTTAATAAACTTTATTTATTAATGACTGGATGACTGGGCAACAAAATTGCATTTATCAAAATTGAATTTTCTCTGCCAAGTAATACACATTGGAAAATACAATACTTTTCTAGATAACAATCTGACACAGTATGCCTATACAGGCAGTCCCCGGGTTACGTACAAGATAGGGACTGTAGGTTTGTTCTTAAGTTGAATCTGTATGTAAGTTGGAACTGGCGTCCAGATTCAGCCGCTGCTGAAACTGACCACCAGTTCTGACTTACATACAGATTCAACT